CGATGTGGGACTCGATCCCAGGACCCTGGGATCATGACCTGAGCCGAAGGCAGACACCTAACGACTGAGCCACCCAGGCGCCCAACGAATTATATTTTCTTGTCTTCTCTTCCATCATTTTCTTTCTCTTCTTTAGAGCGGACTATCGCTTGCCTGTCAGTAACTTCGGAAGATGACAATAATTGAACAGTAGTAAAGAAATACCTATGGAAAACTCTAAGTGTTGTTTGTTGTATTTTTTCCCCCTTTAATTTGTAGGTTTTTAAATTCTTGGATTTTGGGGGGGTACCTGGGTGGCTCAGTCATTAAGTGTCTGCCAGCTGTTCAGGTCATGATCCCAGGGTCCTGGGATCAAGCCCGGCATCAGGCTCCCTGCTTCACGGGAAGCCTGCTTTTCCCTTTCCCACTCCCCCTGCTTGTGTTCCCTCTCTCGCTGTGTCTCTCTGTCAGATGAATAAATGAAATCTTTAATAAATAAATAAATAAATAAATAAATTCTTGGATTTTTTTTTTTAAAGATTTTATTTTTAAGTAATCTCTACACCCAATGTGGGGCTCGAACTCACAAGCCCAAGATCAGGAGTTGCATGCTCTACCAGGTAAGCCAGCCAGGCAACCCCTAAATTCTTGGATGTGTGATTGTGATTTTATATTGCAAAATAGAGAACAGTTATTCTTTCTCTTCGTAAACTTGTTCCTAATTCACACTGCAGAAATGAATGTTACTGTCTCTTGGTGTTCCACAAAAAAACACCCGATTTCCACCTACATGAACATGAGGATCAAGACTCCAGAATCTTGGGGCACCTGGCTGGCTCAGTTGGTAGAGCTGATCTCTTGATCTCAGGGTCATGATTTCAAGCCGGGCATTGGGCATGGAGCCTACTTAAGAAAAATTAAAAATAGGGGTGCCTGGGTGGCTCAGGTCATGATCCCAAGGTCCTGGGATCGAGCCCCACATTGGACTCCCTGCTCAGCAGGGAGTTTACTTCTCTCTCTCCCTCTGCCCCTCCCCCTGCTTGTGTGTTCTCTCTGTCTCTCTCTGTCTCAAGTGAATAAATAAAATCTTAAAAAGAAAAAATATTAAAAATATAAAAATAAACCTAAAAAAAAAAAGACTTCGGAATCTCTCTAGAAATCAAATCATCTAACCAAGAGGAACTTGTCGTAGTTCCAAGAGGAACTTGTTCTTACTGGATAGTAAAAATGTTAGTTTTTATGTTCTCCTTTGTGCTTTCCTGAATATTTAAAAATATCTACAGTGAACATTCATTCATTTGACAAATATCTAGGTGCTGGAGAGAGAGCAGTGAACAAGCCAGGAAAAAATCTGTGTTCTGGATTGGTGGTTGCCAGAGGCAGGGCAGGGGGATGGGGCAAAATAGGTAAAGGGAGTCAAAAGGCACAAACTTCCAGGTAGGGAATAAATCAGTCACAGGGATGTCACCCACAGCATGGGGACTGGTGTTAATCATACTTTATCGCATATTTGAAAGTTGCTAAGAGAGTAAGTCTTGAAAGTTCTCATCACAAGAAAAAAATTCTTTATGTATGGTAATAGATGTTAACTAGACTTGTGAATATATATTCATATACTGAATCATTATGTTGTATACCTGAAACTAATATAAACTTCAATGTCAATTATATCTCAGTTCAAAAAAAAAAAAATCTCTGTTCTGATATATCTTTGGGCTTTTCCTTTTGGCCTGGTCAGAGTCCTTGAAGAAGACACGTCACATTTCCTCTGTGGAAGGTCAACGCCTGGTAGCCAGACATCTAGGAATTGAATGGAGGAAGAGGGCTGGGAATCTAAGCATCCAATATCCATAAATCCACTTATCTCCCGGTTTATACAGAGACTCCTCTTCGACCTGCTCTGGAGAATAAATACTTCAGTTTTCTTTTAGAGGAAGGAGTGCAGCCATTGAAGAAGGGGGAGGTAAACTGGAGATGTTAAACAGCTCTTGAAATTCTTATTTTAATCCCTGCCCAGGGTACAACATGTAGGTGGCTCCTAGGCATCGCTGGTGGGTAGTGTGTGTGTGGGGGGTAACGCCACCAAGTTTGGAGACTTGAGGGATTTGGCACGTATAAATCAGGTTGGGCCTCGGCTTTATCCACTTTGGATTTAGGGTTCAGGTTTCTCCAGGTTAACTTAGTTAACGCTTGTCCATTTGCTTTCCAGCTTCTACTTTTTTTTGTTTTTGTTTTTCCTACTGGCTCCTCTTATTATTGTGGGTTCATGCTTAAAAAATCCCATTACTGTCATTTTCGTGGTGTTGTAGGAAGAAACAAAAGTAGATCTGTGTATTCATCCTTATTAACTGCTTAACTCTCATCACTTTTGAGGAACATTTTCCTATCTTAAGTTCTCTCTTGATACCATTCAAATCTTTATTCTCCTCCATTTGTCCTTAGATATTTGAATAAAATATGTGCTTTTACGTGTAGCTCATTGTGATTTAGGAAGAGTTCACTGACAGTTGCATATTTAAGATTTTAAGTAGCAGGAAACAAACGATCCCTTTCCTCAGCGAAGCAAAAATAAAGATGAGACATACACATACTCAAATTTTTAAATTACATATGTAGAAGGTTCGTTATGGTAGCATTATTTGTAACAGCAAAAGACTGCAAAAAACCTACAGGCCCATCAGTAGAGGACTTTTTTTTTAAACATTTTATTTATTTATTTGAGAGAGAGAGAGCCCGAGCATGCATGCACAAGCAGGGGGAGGGGCACAGGAAGAGGAAGAAGCAGCCTCCCTGCTGGGAGCCTGATGTGGCTCAATCCCAGGGTCCTGGGCAGAAGGCAGACGCTTAACCAACTGAGCCACCCAGGCACCCTAGTCAGTAGAGGACTTGTTAAATAAAACATACCAATCCACATGGTAGCATATTATACAGTTAAAAAGAATGAAGCAGATCTTTATGTTCTGGTATGGAAGAGTCTGTAAAGGCAGAATAGAGTAAGTATAGTATGCTATCTTCTGGTTTAAAGATACATACCTATTTCTGCAACAGGGTTACCTCCTGGGAGGAGAACTAGGTGACTGGGAGACAGGAAATAGAAGACTTAGTTTTCCCTTGTATAACCTTTGTAGCATGTGCATTTTATACTACAGTCTTATATTACTTATTTTAAAAATAAAGTACTAGTGAATAGTTTTTTAAAGAATGAGCAGGGGCGCATGGTGTCTCAGTCAGTTGAGTATCTGACTCTTGGTCTCAGCTCAGATCTCCATCTCAGGGTCCTGAGTTCAGACCCTATGTAAAAAAAATACAAATAAATAAAAGAATGAGCTCCATGACCTTTACTTGACATAATGCTCTCCCTGGTGACTTCCATCTTTCCAATTGTTACTTCTTCAAGATGGATATTGATTCCCAAATCCTTTTCTGGACAACTCCAACCCCAGTACTCTCTCATCTGATCTCCTTTGTTAGAAATGATTCTGTGCAGTAAAACTGTCACACGCTGATTTGCTATGCTGCTGCTACTTCTCTTATTTTTATTTTTTAAAGATTTATTTTAGAGAGAGAGAGCGCACGAGCAGGAGAGGCAGAGAGACAGGGAGAGAGAGAATCTCAAGCCGACTCCGTGGAGTGTGGAGCGCGACATGGGGCTCAATCCCATGACCCTAAGATCATGACCTGAGCCAGAGTTGGATGCTCAACCAACTACACCACGCAGGCACCCCTGCTGCTGCTGCTTTTAAATAGTATCAACCATCTTGTATTAAACTTTCCATTTTGTATTTTCATTTGTGTTTTACTAAGCCTTTTAGGGGTTGCATGGGGGGTCTTGCAAAATGAGGAGTGGCCAGTGGAGAATATGTGAGCAAGTAAAAGGGAGGAAGTACATGAGAAAGAGTTTAGAGGCTCCCTCCTGACCTTAGTCTTTCACATGCACTTACCAAGCAGAGATTCATGTGAACCAGCGACCCCTTTTTATAAAATCCTAAAAGCCCCTGGAAATGTAAAGGCTTCACATTTTACGTTGAATTAACACAATTATCATGACATCACTTTGCTAAAACACTTGCACTCAAGGGATGACAGGTTGGGAGACAGAAGCAAATATTTTGAAGCAAGACTCGCAAAATTTTAGAGCCAGAAGGGCTTGAAGATCAACTAGTCCAAACCCTTAGGTCCAAGACAAGACATTGGAGGAATTCAGGCTCAAACCCAAGTCTCTTCTTAAATCCAGTTGAACTACACCATCCAGCCTGTGGGAGCAGAGGTCCGGCCTGGATGAAAGATGGGGTACAAGAAAGACAGGAGGGTACTGTGTCTGAAGAAGAGAAAAGAAAGCAGCAGGCGAAAAAGGGGTGGTTGTTAAGTTTTGTCTCCTCCGTAATTGTGTCCAGGGCTCCGTGGGAGTCTGTGTCAATAAAAGTCTATATTAGCAGAAGCCAAATTAAGATAATCAGAACTGGTTTGAAAAGCTGCAAACCTCAACTTCCCCTTACCCAGCCCAGTCTCTTGACTTCCAGAAACCAATGAACTTCAGCTTAAAGCTCTTAAAAGACCTTTTCACAACCCCCTTTTCCACACCTGGAGAAGGAAAGTCAGAAGAGGACGCAATACAAACAGGAGCGGTTTCCCTATTTCTAGGGAATTTTCAGCAGATTCCCCAGTATCTACTGTATCGGGAAAGTGAGAACCATTTAGGGTAGGGTAGCCATGGAGGTATTACTGGCCTCAGGCTTGTTTCCTTCCTTCTCTTTGCTATTGAAATCTTTTGCTTTGATTTCAGTAAGACACCCCACTTCTGCTGACGCCGGATTCTGCAGCCACCTCTCTCTCGTCTCCATGCAGGGCGCGGGAACACGTTTTGGAACGAGCAGAGCGGGTGAGCACAAGAACCCGCGAGGTTCAATGGGGAATCAGTCCCATCCACCGTCTCCAGGCTTCGGAGCCCGCCCGGCCCAGACTACAAATCCCAGGAGACGCCGCTGAGGGACGGCGCGTTCCAGTGATCCTTCCCTCACTCTCCCGGAGAGTGGAGACAAAGGTTCCGTTGGCAGCGCACTGCGGGTTGGTTTATTTTTCTACGGCGGTGACGGAGGTTGGAAGCCCGGCCGACAGCAGGCGGAGGCGTCAGGAGGCGGAATCCTCCTGTCCGGAGCACTGGGGTGGGGAGGGGGGCGGGGAGGAGGGAAGCGGGGCCACGGGCCGCGAACCGAGCCGCCCGGACAGAGCAGGCTAAGGAGATGGAAGGCGACGGGGTGCCGTGGGGGAGCGAGCCCGTCTCGGGTCCCGGCCCGGGCGGCGGCGGATTGATCCGCGAGCTGTGCCGGGGCTTCGGCCGCTACCGCCGGTACCTGGGCCGGCTGCGGCAGAACCTGCGCGAAACCCAGAAGTTCTTCCGCGACATCAAGTGCTCCCACAGCCACAGTTGTCCCTCCTCCCCCACGGGCGGCGGCGGGGCCGAGCGCGGCCCTGCCGGCGACGTCGCCGAGCCCGGGCTGCAGGCGGGTAAGGAGGTCAGCGGCGGCGGAGACAGGGCTGGAGGGAGCAGCTGGAGGGCGGACCGCACCCCTGTCCCTGCAAAACAAGCCGGGAAGGGGCGGAAAGTGGGAGAAGGGCAGCGTGGCGGGGCCGCGGGGCCTGGGCCGGTCGGGTCGGCGAGGCCGTGGGCGGGCATCCCTCGGGGCGGGGTTGGGCGAGGGGCGCCAGGGGCCGCCCCGAACTCCGGGAGCGGGCTCCGGGGCCCCGGGTCAGCAGGCCGTGCGTAGGGGCCGGGGTCCCCCGAGGAGCGGGGAGGGTGGCTCTGAGTGGGGGGTGGGCCGCTGTGGTCGGAGACCCGCTTAGGGATGGAGGAGTGGACAGGCAGAGGAAGAGTAGCAGGCAGGGTGCCCCTGGAGCCCGAGGAGGCCAGGGAACTGGAGTGGATTGTGTGTGTTGTGCGCGTGTGTGTGGTTTTGTGCAATGTTTTTGCACCAATCGCGAGGCAACTCTGTGAAGAAGCAGGAATGTACTCTAAATGGGGCTGGGGTCGCTGAAGCAAATATGTGTCTGATGGGTGCCAGCGAGTTGCCTGAGAGGTTGCTCGTGCTTATGGTGAAGAAGTTAGAGAGGGAGGGTTGGGTTTTTTGGTGGTGGGGGTGGTGGGGGTGGTGCTGGTGCTGAGACTTATTGCCTTGCTTCTCCCTGGGATGTGCTAGAGTTCCTAAAGCACTTAGAATCGTGCAGGGGCTTTAATCTTTTCTAATTTCTCGCTTCATTTTCAAATGCTCTTGGTGGGGAACCGGAGGGTTTGTTAAGTACTCTGTCTAATTAGGAAATAGATTGGAAGGGAGAAGGGACTGGCGTCCTATGTGGACAAGTACCCTGGAGCCAACATAGCAAATAAGTCAGTGGGTTTAATGTAGTGATTCTCAAACTTAAGTGTGCACTAAAACCAAATTAGCATGAAAAATGTCTCATGCTCTACCCCACAGATAGAGTAGGTCTCATGGGTGGATCCTGAGAATCTAAACATGAAATGCCTCTGGGGATTCTGTTGGAAGTGGTCTGCAAACACACTTTGGGAAGCACAAATTAGTTGCTGATAGCACATTTGAACAGGAGGCTCAGAACAGAATGAATTGTTCAACTCTTCAGAGTTTGTGTGTTGGGTCCTGCATTTCCAAAGTTGCATGTTTGATATCCTAAATTTGTCTGAGACTCCAGAAATGGTGACCAAAGTAAGATAATAAGATTCTGATATGATCTTAAATGATACTGTTCCATTTAGTTGGCCTGGATGTAATAAACATGGGAGGAAAGGCATGATAGCTTTTTTGGAGTTGTGGTTTTGACATGTGTGCCCAGAGATTTGCTGTTCTGAAAATGGACCTACCTACAGAGGCTGTCAGAACTGGCAAGAAGGACTAATGTTTTCAGAGATGATCCTCAGAATGTGTACTTTCACCCTCTCCCCCCGAGCAGTGCTTTCTAGCAGCTTCCCTGCTCACAAGTTTTTCTTATAGCTTACCTCAAAGAGTCCTCTATTGCTGTTACTTTATAACAACTATTTATTTTAGAATCACTACTGAAAAAACAGAGAGATGGAGGTTTTCAAGGCACTTTGACGCGGTCTTGTTTTTATTCTTTAAAAGCCAAGTTAAGAAAGACAGATGTACCCTTTGTATTTTGCCTCATTGGCTTTTCTAGTTGACTGCATCATGAACTAATCTTTGCATATTGTATTTAACTAATTCTCTTCACACTCTGGAGTCTGTCCATCTGAAATAAAAACCAGGGTAGGGTGCAGATGACTGGACTGGGAACAATTTGATTTTGTTCCATAAAATGCTTCCATTCTTTTCAGTATGGAGAGTTTTGTCCTTGGAGGTGAAAATGAGCTGATATCAGGGAAGATTAGTGAGGTGGCACTTACTATTTATATTTTGGGAATGCCATTTTCCCAGCTGTTTAGGTAACTGTGTTAGAAAGTAGAAACCACTCCTTAAAAGACAACTAGCTCTTGTTTTCTCCTTTTACAGGCTATCTGTGCAAGGTCAAGTTCACTCAGAGATTGTCTCAACTTTCTTTTGTGAATGTTGGTTTCTGAATAGGAACTTGGAATATTAAGAGAAGGAACACTCAAAAAAAATTTTTTATTCCCTTTATCTAACCAACCCCTACCCACCTCCCCTCTGGCAACCACAAGTTCTGTTTTGTTTGTCCCTTTTTTTTTCTCTGCCCATTTCTTTTGTTTCTTCAGTTCCACATATGAGTGAAAGAAACAGTCAATTCCTAACCTAACAAACCTCTAGAAGTTTTGTGTTTTTTTTTTTTTTTTAAGATTTTATTTATTTATTCGAGAGAGAGAGGGAGCTTGCACAAGTCGGGGGAGCGTTTGAGGGACAAGCGGACTTCCCGTTGAGCAAGGAGCCCGCCATGGGACTCGATCCCAGACTGGGATCATGACCTGAGCGGAAGGTAGATGCTTAACTGACTGAGCCACCCGGGCGCCCCCTCTAGAAGGTTTTAATCATCATTTCAGAGTGGAAGTGTACTTCTAGGGTGGAGGTAGTATAGTATTTGAGCAACTGAAGATCATCGATTAACTCCAGATTTTTATTATATCACTTTTAACCACAAAGGAGATGGGAAGGACCCCAGAATAATGCTTTCTTCTTAATTTTGACAGTTTTGTATTCGTTGGAGTCAGTTTAGAGAGTATATAACATACATGATGTTTCAGGAACTAAAAAGTACGTGTGCCTGGCCCGTACAAAGTAAACTGAATTACAAGTGAAATTTCTTTAATTCCATTCCTCCCCTGCTGCCCAAATCATTGGCCTTCTTTTCACCAAACTCCAGAAGATGAGTTAATTTTCCAGCTTCAGAAGTAATGAGAAAAAGACTTTGAAAACTTCTTTGAAAAAAGTCAGAATGGAGTGTTACAAAGTAGCAGAGGGAAAAGTATTTTTCTTGTTTTGTGATCCAACAGAGTTCTTAGCTGTTGTAACATATCATAAACGTTTGAAGACATTGGGATGAGTTGGAATGCTTGCCTCTGTGCTGCATTCCTTCAGTCCTGTTTCCACTCCTTAGTATCTGGATGACCTTGGGCACATCACAACTGTGCTGTGCCAGTTTCCTCATCTGGAATCGGAGATTCCGACAGTAGTGCTTGCCCTTAGGGTTGTTGGGAGTTAATATATGGTAATGTGTATGTTTAGAATAGTGCCTGTTACCGTGCTGTGTGGGTATTATAGGTAGGTCATATTATTCCATAGTTATTCAGTAAACATTTAAGTGTCTGGTATAGGGGACAAAGAGTCAAATAAAGACATTGGCCTTCACCTTAGGCTAGTGGGAAGCAGTCTTTCCCTTCTATACTTTTCTCCTAAAAAAGAAAAAAGAATTATAATTATCATCATTACAGTGCACCTATTATTTGTTTCTGTTGGAGGAGGGATGAAAAGGACTAGGTAGACCTGAAGTCCGTCCTCCTAGAAAGAGACAGTCTGACTTCAACCATATACATAGGCAGCACCTAAAGCAGAACAATGGCGGAGAGCTAAGGTATGGCTAGATTATAGGCATTTTATGGGAGTTACAATTCTTAGATTTTTATAGCTTTTTGCCTTTGGTTAGCAAACAGCTTAGTTTCTCCGACATTCTTCGCCTTCTTTTTTTCACACCTAGTATAAACTGGTTGCCAGAATTTAAAAGAAGAGGAAAAGCACTACTGCACTTATTTGAAATAGACATTTTTCTTGGACTCCTTAGACGGAAATCGGTATAGGTAATTAAGTGGCAGAGTGACATCTGGGGAAGAGACAGAAAACTGGGGAGAAAGGAGGTTGTTTACAGCCTGGTTTCATGGGGCTGCCTTCTTACCCGGCTGCGTGGTGGGAAGTCAGGTTGTGGGGTGAAACAGCCAGAGACTGGGACAGGTGTGCTTTCTAGAAAGTAGTTTGCCCTGATCTGTTTTGGCTCTTCGGTATAACCTCTGCAGGGATGGTCCTGTAATTGTGGTTCTTACCTATGACTTTTATTACCCCAAGCATATCGAAAACTTTTGCTTTCTCTCTCAATTTTCTTCCTGTATGGAAGCGGTGATAGTGGTTGAAAAGCAAGCACAAGCATTGGAATCAGACCTGGGTTTCCTGTTGTAGTTCAGCCTCTCCTTCACAGTGTGACTTGGGCAAGTTGCTCAACCTCGTTGAGTCTTGGCTTCTTCCTATGTGAAATGGTAGTGGTATGAAATGCTATATATCGTATGATTCCATCTGTGTGAAATGCCCAGAATAGACGAATTCATAAAGATAGTAGGTATGTTAGTGATTGCCAGCGAATGAGGAGAGAGGAAAATGCGGAGTGACTGCTAATGGGTGTGGGATTTCTTTAGGGAGAATGAAAATGTTCTGGAACTAGATTGTGGTGATGGGTGCACAGCTTTGTGAATATGCTAAAAAAGACTGAATTATACACTTTAAAAGGGTGAATTGTATCTAAATACATACATACATACATAAAATGGGAGTGCTAATGTCTGTCTCCCAAAGTTGTTGTGACATTTAGAGATGATCTACTTTAAAGCACTTAGCGCAGGCATATAGTTAGCGCTAAGTAGATGTGGCTGTTTGAGTGTGTGTACGTATGTAGTTGGTGAGCACTAGATTAGGAGGTTGGAGCATGGTGGGTTGGGGGAAGAATAAGAGGAGCAGAAAGATGGAATGTGGGACAGAACAGTTTTGAGCTGGAGCCAGATTCAGCCCCGCGTCGCTAAACTCCCCAGTCCAGTTCTGCTTCTGTGATTCCTTCCTTGTTTTCTGACCTGGCCATGAGAATATAAAATGCACCCTGGCAATGGAGAGATTTTGTTACAAATGAGTCATAGCCCAGCTATGGAGCCATAATTGACTTCAGTGGGAGACTTTATCTGATTGAATTGAGAATAATATGACTCTACCTACCCTAGCCTCATACTCGTTTCTAGTCCCCAACATTTAGGACACCCAGCCCTCCTTTGCTGATTTTGCTACCTCCCATACCCTGGGAGGAGCCTGGGAGGAAGCCCCCCACCCTCCCATCCCCAAACACAATGGCTCTTTGCACCTTTACTTTTATCAGACTCTCCCTTCCTGGGATAATCTGTTTCCCATGGCACAGGGCAGCCCACTATGAAAAGGCTTGGATAATTTTGCCTGCCTTTAGAAGAAAAGATGTAATTACCTTTAAGATGTGCCGTGCGTGTAGTTTAGTCTGAAATGTCATCACTGATTTCAATACATTTAGTTCTTCAGCCTTGGAAGTGGTTTTTAAGGAAAGCATGGATTTAAACAAAAATCCATTCTGGTTTGTAAATTTTGTTTTGCTCTGTCCACTTTCCCAGCACCTCCTTTTATTTCTCTATGCTTCTCTTCTCCATCTCATTTCCTGCATTAAATGTACTTCTCAAAAACGGTCTTTTGAAAATAAAACCTCAAGAAATATGTTGTTGAAGTAAAGGGAAATGTGAATTTCACCTTGTACCTTTTGCTCAATTCCTGTAGGTTCTGGACATACAGAACATGCTTTTGTATATATGTTGTTTTGTTTGTATGATTGCTATGGATGTATTTGTTTTATCCCGCTTACTAGATAGTGAACCCTTAAGGCTAAAGGCTGTGTTTTATTCATCTTTGTATCCCCTGCAATGCCTGCCATAGTGCTTTATATATAGTAGGCAAATAAAATACCTGTTAGGGGCACCTGGGTGGCTCAGTCGTTAAGCATCTGCCTTCGGCTCAGGTCATGGTCCCAGAGTCCTGGGATCGAGCCTCACATTGGGCTCCCAGCTCAGCGGGGAGCCTGCTTTTCCCTCTCCCACTCCCCCTGCTTGTGTTCCCTCTCTTGCTGTGTCTCTCTCTGTCAAATAAATAAAATCTTTAAAAAATATATAAATACCTGCTAAATTATTTCCATGGCTGGTAGATATTGGAATGACGTTTTTTTTCCACTTCAGAAGGACGTTTCCTCTCCATAAAAGATAGGGATTTTTGTAAATTTGCCCACATTTTACTAGCTGGACCCCTAAAAAAGAACAGTGATGCATTTGAGAGATGACTGACTAGGCTGGGTTGCATTCTGTGCTGATACCCAAATGATTTTCATGCCCCAAAGAATGAGTTGCATGCAATCCCAGTATGGCGGAGCATCACCATGGTAAGGGAAATAAATCCTTAATATTCATTCACTCAACAAATCTTTATTAATGCCTGATTCAGTAGTGGGCACAGGATACGCAATGGTGAACCACCGTCCCACTAGCTGATATTATTACAAGTTGATGTTATGGAAAGAAGGATTAGTGTTTCATCATGTTCCCTCTAGAGGATTGTCTACAAATTGGTTATCTACTTAACTCTTACCTGTCTTTGAGGGCATGGGATAAGGCATATGGGAAGTTGTAAGATTAAATGACATTGTCAGAAAGAGGAGTTGAGATGCTTTACTAACTTTCTGACAGAGTTCAGAAAAATTAGCCCCAGTCTGTCTTTGATGGAGTAATTGTGATTGTCTTGTTTGTATGGCTCAAAAGCAGAATGCAATCACAAAGATTGTTGTTAGAGTGGCTTTCATCTTCCTAGCTTCTCTCAGAGCTTACTCAGAGGGAAGCCAGCAGGAAGAATATGAGGTGTGTGGGTGGGTGCATGTGGTTATCTCCCTAACAGTGTTAAGACCTAAGGTGAGTTTGGTGTAGGAAAATAGTTCACCTCTAGGGATGAAGGGCTCTGCTTCTTACACAGCGCAGGGAGTCTGGTGGTGGTATTCATAGCCAGGGTATAGAGTGAGTCCACGTGGAAGATGCAGTCTTTCTTGACTCTCAAAGGTTGGTCTGGAGTCCCCCGTAGGATTTCCAGTCTAAGTCTAGGCCACCCCATGCTTTGAAGATGGATTCAATTCTTTGCCAAATGAGGATCCTGGAATCTGACACCTTAATGAAGAACAGATGTAGCTGTGGTGGAGCTAGGTGCCCCTTGCTCAGAGCTATCTCTGAGAAAGTCCCCTTAGATAGGATACTCTTCCAAAGTCCAAACCAAAACTCTCTGAAGCAAAGTTGGCCAGAGCATGGGGACTCCTTGTGTCGCCTGTGGCCCCTGGTTGAAGTGCCCATCACATGCAGCGCTTTCTGTCTTCTTTAGCAGGCAGTGTGAATGGTGTGGACTGTTCCCCCAGCCTTGGGCCATGCGGCTGTGGGAGCCTTTTGACCACAGCTCTCTTTGGAGTTGGGCTTTGTAATGTGCTTCCGTTCCCTGGGGTGGTGTTCTCTGGGCAGGAAGATGGGAAGTAGGACTTGAGGATTGTTTTGCTTTTCACTTGTCTAATGAATAATGCCTCAAAACTATCCCGAAGAATGATGATAGGTTATATACTCATAAAAGCCTTTGATTAAAAAAAACACACACACACACAAAACTCACATTTAAAAAAAAAAATGCTTTTATCCCTTGTCTTTAATCAGATGTTAAAAAAAAAGTCCAACTTTAGCTTCATCAGATTAAGAACTTTAGTGCCTTATTTATGCTGGACATATTTTATAGCTTAGTGGTTTTTACCCTTTCCAGTTGATGTAATGGGGAGAAAATTACATTTCCCAGGATTTTTTTTTTTTTTAATCAAGCCAAACTTTCCAGAGCAAAGACTAAGGCCCTGTCATAAATGCAGTTAGATTCAAGACTAATTTGAATAAAAGCTCACTCTTTATTTAATTAGAGGGATAGTGTCTGAGCCCATATGGAGTGTATTTTTTAAGAATATTGTGTACAACATACTATAGCCTTAACTTTTTAAAGAGTTATTTATTTATTTGAGAGAGAAAGAGAATCCTAAGCAGACTCCCCGTTGAGTGCAGAGCCTGAACAGGGCTCAATTCCCCTCTGAGATCATGACCTGAGCAGAAACCGAGTCAAAGGTTTGATTGAGCCACCCAGACACCCCCCCAATTTTTTAAAAGATTTATTTATTTATTTATTTGAGAGAGAGAGAGAGAGAGAGAGCCGGGGGGAGGGGCAGAGGGAGAGAGAGAGAATCTCCCCGCCGAGCGTGAAGCCCTGTGGGGGGGGGCTTGATCCCACACCGCTGAGATCATGACCTGAGCCGAAACCAAGAGCCAGACACTTACCCACTGAGTCACCCAGTTGCCCCTAGCTTTAACTTTTAATATTATGGAGATATGTAGGTGCAAGGGGCAATGTAGGGGGAAAATAGCCAGTAGGAGAAAAGTCGTTCATACTCCTCCTCTTCTGGCGTACAAGACCCCACTGGGGGAGCCTGTTTCAATTTTTCCTGAGTGAGTGATTGGCCTCCTCTGCAACCTCTTATTCCATGGAGAGAAATGGAGGAGTTCTGCTGCCCCAACTTGGAAACGTCCTTTGTAACTATGGGATACAAGTAGTTACATGGTATGAAGAGGTGGAGAGGTGTTCCCTACTGCTGAGTAATCAGAAGGGACTTCTGCAAGCGATGCAAAGTCATGCAGCTTCTGGTGGTTTCTCATTCAATGCACTGGATACTTACAGGTAATTTTTAGCAGCTCCTGTCCTGGAGCATGTTTGTGTGTGCTGCTTAGCCTTGAGGATTTGGGTTCTAAGTCTGCTCCTGAACTGCCTACTTAGATGAGTGCCTTGAACTCCCCAGACAGAACCGCCCACAGTACACTATCTCAGGAAGGTAGAGGAGAGAGGAGGTGATGTGCCAGGCAAAAGGAGGGGCAGTGAGGAAACAGTTCCTATTTCAGTTCTGTTAGGGCTGTATTTGATGTGTTTTTTACCTGTTGGGTTTTTTGTCAAGTAAAATTCTCTTTCCATCTCCTTTCCTGTGAGATCCAGAACTGGGTACACTTTGCTGGGTATCCTTCTGGCTCATTAAAAAAAAAAAAAATTCCTTTGAAATAATTTCAAATTTACATAAATGTTGCCAGAACAGTGTAAAGAACTTCCCTACCCACCTCAGGCAGATTCCCCAGTTGTTAACATTTTATTGCTTTTGCACTTGCTGATGTTCGTGGGTGTGCTCTAAATCTCTCTCTCTCTTCCTCTATTATATCTGTTTCTCTGAACCTTTTGAAAACAGACTGTTGATAGGTGGTCTTCTCTCCTCTAAGCACTCCAGTGTGCCATTGTCCCCAGCAAGGACTTGCTTCTACATACCAGCGCGCAACTCCCCAAGTCAGGGCATGAACAGTGATGCGGTGCCACCATCCAGTGCACGGGCCCCACTCACATTTTGCCAACTGTCCCAAGAATGGCTCTTTTTCTTTCTGATCCAGGATCCTGCCCAGCAACACATGTTGCGTTAGCTGTCATGTGTCTTCGGACTCCCCGAATGTGTAACAGGCCCTCGGCCTCTCCTTGGCATTTAGATCTTGGACAGGTTTAAAGAGTAGGCTTTATATTCCATAGGAGGACCCTCAACCTGGATCTGCCTGTTGTTTCCTCACGACTAGACTCGGTCCTGAGCTTTTAGCAAGACGAGGCATGGAAATGATGGAATGTGCATCACATCGGGGTACTTGGTGCCAATAACCCCCATCCCTGGAGATGTTAAGCTTTATCACTGGTTGTGTTGCTGTCGTCTAGGTCTCTTCACTTTAAGTCACCATCTTTTCCCTTTGCAGTTGATTAGTCTTTAGTGGGAGGTGTTCTAAGATTTTGCTGAGAATCCCATTCCTGAAAACACCTCCCTCCGCTAGACCTTAGCACCCATTCACAACTC